TTTCACCTCATTGAGCTCTTGGGAATTACTACAAGTGATAAATGTACACGGAAAAACATTCAGGTTGGAAGCTGTCCAGTCTAAACACTTACGAAAAAATTAGACAGTTTCAGTGAACCGTGGGTTTTGGTTGAATCCAGGTCTCGGTCATTTGTGAGTTGGAGACTTGGGGAAATTTGGACTGCTTTTTTGTCAAGCAAAGGCTTTTTGGGATAAATCATGCTTGTGTATGTCTCCGTAGTGAAGCGCAACGAATAATTATTCGTTCTAATTAGCAACTGTGAGAGATAGTTGTTAGATGGCTTTTTGTTAACAAAAAGGAGGATTATGTAGTGCGTTGTCTGTTGAAGAAGAAACTCCGGCCACATTTGCTTAGCCAATTTGGCATTGGTTCTTTTGTTTTGTCCTTCAATCTAACAAACCACCAACACCATCTCTTGTGTTTTAATAACTGACAATCACGTCAAATACATAGACTGTCCCCAGAACATCCTACGGCTATCTACTTTGGAGTCACGCACACACGTGTGCACAGATTTGAGGGAAAGTGTGTGCGTATACACCTTTGCGCCGAAGCTGGGCTCAGGATACGCAGAAATCTATCCTTATTATTTTTAATTTTTAGCTACGGGTTGTATATAGCGATGAGACTGACTGTTTTACGTACGAGAATTCTTAATGCACCTGTGTGTTCCAGCTTCCAATATCATACGTACATATCTAAATCCTTGGTTAAAGAGCGTTCCTTCCGAACTTTAGGTACAGCTGACCCTTTTAGTTATGTAGTTTCTGACCAATTGCGACTTCTAATCGCACAAGAAATATTACTGGATAAAAAGAAATAGCACTTTCTCAGTCGCGATTTTCCGGTTTTAATGCAAGTTATCACAATTCTGTAGTAAATAAAAACTGACAGTTTTTGATATTATGGTTTATGTATTTAATATCATTTAAATTTATATAACTTTCTCCTGCCGGCGAAAAGAACTAAGCTTGAAATCGAACTGTTTGTTCCTTCACAACTCGCACTCTTCATTACGATCATTTGGTTATCGATTAAACTGTAATCAGGGTGTTAACCGAATTGAATTTGTGAACTACCGGTCCACTACATAATTCCAGGATCCATTTCTCCATTAATCTACAATATCTTCATTTGCATTTAAAGGACTAATTTCAAGACGAGCGGCGTACACCGTGAGACTGTTCGCGTGCTTTTGGGAAAAACTTTGTCCAGCCATCGATATACTAGATAGTGTAAAACCACTGAAAAATCACCTTTGCTCTGAGTTTGCTAAAGGTAAACTAATACAGTATCCAAGGTACCCCCATGATTGTATTGTATTGGTTCTCCGGTACGTCTCAAACGAACTTGCTGAGAATTAAGTAAGAGTAATGTGGCTCGTTTTACAACGGTAGAGTAAGTCTAACAGACTAATAAATATCGAATACGCATAAATAATAGTAAACAGAGGACGCATATAAACTACCACGAAAAGGGAATAACACCACCGTACACGTGGAAATATATCTTGATAGCGTTAATCCCAATGCCTTACCAAAGGTCATAGATGACCCATTTCTTCCAATATGTGTCTATATGTATGGTGTCAATCCGTTCAACGTCACAGCATAGCTGACATAACTGAAATTCTGCAAATACGTTTTGGGGGTCAGTCGAACAAACCTGTTCTCCCACTGCCCACATTGCTATTGGTAAGAGTTCATCTCAAAATCTTGGTCGGACGAAGTGACTACACACCGAATTCACGGCTTCATACCATGTGCTTTTTTCCTGTTTGCAATTTTAAAGGAATCATATAACTGACTCAGTTATTTTCAACACAGTTTTCGCTAACTCAACGGTGTACTAGTTGAAATTGGAATTCGTTTCTACGGTCCATTTTAAACTGTAATGACTCAATCCCTTTTTATGTATGATTCTCAGATCTGAGATTTACCCGCATTCGACCTCACTGAATGCAGATATCCACCGTTCCGTCCGGATCCCTTGATTGCGGGGCTTGGTTGTTACCGATGTGCGAATCACCTGACTGGACTACCGATTCCAATTTGGCCAAGTGTCTTGACACGCAGCGAGTTCATTTAGTGCACTAAATGGTGCATTCGGAACAAACCTGTTATGCGGACTCCACCTAGTCAGTTCTTCTATACGGTCTTTTGGTTAGATGTCCTCGGCTTAATCTCCCGAGAATGTGCTCCAGTTGGTAATTCCAAATCCAAATACTGACCAGCCACAAGTTGAACTGGTTGGCCTAGTGGTTGTGCACAGCATGTCCGTGTCGGGACTGCGAAGGTCAAGAGATGGATGGGCACTAGTCGTGCCCCCTAATGACAACAAAATTTCCGTCTGGTGAGGTTACAGCCTACGATTTACCGAGCGAAATGACGGTTTGTGTGTGTGTGTGTGTGTGTGTGTGTGTGTGTGTGAATGACATTTGCATTGCGGTCAGTTACTAATATTGATCAAACAGTAATGCACAACCGGTTGTCAGTGGAGTTTTTTATAGCCGGTCTGTTAGATAAAACTACTCAAACCGAGAAGGCAGCTGTGAAGTGCTCACGTTATGTCAACAACTTTACCAATAGTTGTAGCAAAATAGTTTCCTCCTCCAAATTATGCAAAACCATGATGTTAGCGAAAAGCGTGCCAGTTGTTAAACATATGTGGCACATAAAGCAGGAGTAAACATAGGTATACGTATTGTTGCAGATTCGAGGTCGACTACACGGTAGACCTCGCATTCATCTGTTATCACTTGGGATAGACCCGTTTGAAGGAACCAACAATAAAAAAAACAGATTTATATGCATCTAGGACTACTCACGAGAGTGACTCGATTAGCTGAACATTTTTTCCAACTTTACCTCGGGTTAAATTTCCAATAAAATCTGCATGAACTAATTGGCGGAAGGGAAAATCGATAGTTTCTTTATTTATAATTCATTAGCTTTGTGTTTTTCTGCTTGGATTTGACAATCTTTATTGTCAACCGGGAGGTTCATGCAAATTTAAATTGTTTCATTTCATCATGATATAATTTTATCCGATTGAAGGGTATCGATCGGTTCTATGGATCAATATTTGCTTTACTGATAGTGCGAAGCTCACAGTTGTTTAGATAAAATGCCAGATGAGACAGTATAGTTTTAGTGGTGTAATATCACAGACAAAAAATATCATACTCTTGTTTACTGGCAAGGGAAAGGGATGCATTTAGTATTGCTACCCTGCATTTGTAATTTAGCTTTGACTTTGAAATCATTTTAAAACAATAGCCAATCAAACACAGAACAACATCGGCAATCACGGGTTGAACTATCACTTTGAGGCCCAAATTGGGAATGTATGTTTTCTGTCAACATGTTATTGCAGAACTATAAGGATGGAATACAATATGACAGACGAAGGATTTTGATATCCGAATACCGTATTGAGCACCTTATTTGGTTATAAGTGTATATTCAGATGATGCCCAGATGAATTGTTACTATAAGCCGAAGTGCAACAGCTCATTTTGCGTCCCAAATGTTTAACTTGTTCATCAGCGGATGTAACACGCAGGAAACGTTGGTGATGCGATCCTTTTAAATGGAAACAAGATTTTTCTTTAAAAGTGAGTTTCTTTTTTGCATACATGCGTATGTGGTTAGTACACCTTGTTCTATCGGTTCAAAGCATGATCAGAACTTCATAGAGCCCACTCAGACAAGAACAGATAAGTTCACTGTTCAGGTTTCAAAAATTCTCAAGGGATTAAGGTTTCTACAGGTTCAATTGAATCATATCAGCTTGAATGTCACGCCTAGCATGTGGTTAGGTAGTCATTTACGTTTAAGTGTTGTGACACAATTTGCCCTCTAGCATGGAAGGCATGCTGGCAATGTGAGTTGATCTCATTGAAATTGTGGACAATACAAATTGGTCAAATGATCTGTACATGAATATATATATATATATATATATACATATATATAAATCATCCACCCTAAATCACGCGACATCACAGTATCTGATGCATATCTGTTCCTGTCTGTAGTGCTTAAGGGTGATGAAATGAGGCTACAAATCGTTGCAAGAAAGGTAACTAGGGATGCGACCCGACANGTGACTCTAACTCTACCGGACACAAAGCACCCTCTAATAATACTGTTCGCAGAGCAGTGTTCAATTATATAAGCACCAACCGACATATTAACCTGTGATGTCTTTTCCAGATTCATAGTGTGCCAACTATTCTATGCCACGTGCTTAAAATTTTAGGAGGCACACTTGCCATTGAAGTGAAGTTTCTTCTGGTAACCTATTAAAATCTACGGCTTATTCAGTTAATTAAATAAATCCACTCCAGGTTGAGTGTGCCTCTTTACTGCGTTAGATAGATGGAGCAAAATCATGCACTTGTTTCACCTGGTGTAATCCTTTTGATTGTGTTACAAACGGGATTAGCGAAACGAGTAAATTTGTCTTATCATGACAATCACATTCACCTAGGATATACAATGTGGTGGTATTTTGGGTTAAAGCACATGTTTAAGCAAAGAATGCGTAGCTAACATAACACTATGTGGATAAAACCTAGTTCACCTCAAACCTATTATTGAAATGGCATACAGCATTTAAAAATAGTCTTAAAATAGTCGCAAAGTCATGATTACTTAATTTACTGCGGACGGAAGACAGTTCAAAAAGAGACGTTTTAAAGAATCAGTGCATTAGAACGTAACTTATTTTATTGAAGAATTTCCTTTGCATAACCCTCTCAAATGTCGATGACTCTGATCATTGGTATTCTGTAATTAAAACCTCTAATGCGTCATAATTTGTGTGGGGCAATCAAAATTCAAACGATTATCATTAAACTGAAATCAAAACAGGCCAGGCTGGTTAGAGCAACGTGTATCGATCGTTTGTGTATCGATCCGAAGACCGTAAAACAAACCGGAAACGGAAACCCCCTGGGTTGTTGTTTGCTCACTTTCATCGCCAGCGATATTGTGTTGATTAGGATGAATATGAAGATGCAATATTCGAACGGTTGGGAGGTGATGAACCACCAAATGCGATACTGAAAGTTCTGTTTGGGAATGTAGCGCTTCACGGGTCTGGCTTTCAACGAGAACTCGATACACTTGCGCTACAGGATCGCACACGTTCACCCAGGTGGACCACAGAGACAGAGACAGAGAGAAGCAAGCGGATCAGTTTCGGAAGCATTTAGTGTAACGTGGTTGACAGGATTTGGTGGACAGGATGAGGGGGGGGGGGGAATGGGTCGATATGACGGGCGGGTAGGAGGCGGGTGTAAGAAAAATGAGGAGCAAACCACCGGTCAATTTTTCGCCCGGGCCATATTCAAGTAACAGTACATAGATTTTGGTAGATATGTGGATACCAGACCCAGACAGAGATAATAATGTGCATCTGTGAAAAATAAAACTAAAATCACTGTATACAAATACGCAATATGGTTAACAAAAGAAACCAATTAGGTCCCCAGATCGCATCGAACTGTACGTATTGTTTGTGAAATTATTTTCACAATATCACAATGAAGGAAGGCAGCGTGACAAATAGCGAATTGCAGAGAATTTCCCACTCAAACATTGATGAGTACCATCTGAACCTCTGCCTGTTGGTCGATTGTGTACGGGTTAAATTAGTCGCTCCTCTGTGGGAACTTTCAGAATACTTTGTGGATCAGGTTGCTTTGAAAAATTTCCCTGATTTTCCATTGCTTTAGGTTGATATATACCGTGCTCGGTACGTCTGGATCGGAGCCAACGATAAAGGAAATATCCGCCAACACCAGCTAAAATCAAGAATAATATAATGGGTACAGCAATAGCCGCTGCTAATGCCCCACCACGGAGACCTTTTGATCCACTCGCCTCAGTCGTATTACTGGCTTCGGTAGTCGAATTCACATTCACCGCAGCCTGGACAGCATCTGCAACGACACTTGTGGCATTACTCTCACCCACCACTTCACTAGCTTTCCGTTTAGTCCGTTGAAGCACTGAAACTTCAGATTCACTACATTCAACCGTTTGTCCACAAATCACATTATTTGGAGGGATGCACGATTGAAGTTGAGTTTGAATCACGTGATTCTGCGTAACGTCTGGCGGCAAGATTATTTCCAGCATATTTGTCTGGTTTGTATGCAACGGTATCCTTTGTATCACAGTACTCCAAGAAGAACAATTCACCACATCAAACTGATCAGAAGCATTGGTACTTCTTAGTTCAATAGTTTGCAATTCATCGAAACCATCTGCTTCATTGGGTTGCAGTCGGAGTAGTGTAACATTCAATGGGTGTGAAATATTCACAGGAAGAAATAGGTGC